GCCGACATCGAGGTTACGGAGAGCGCCGTCGAAGCCGACTTCGCTGAATCGCAGCAAGTCGTTCTCCAAGGACCAAAAGGTGGAGCTGAGGATGAAGCTTGGAGAGCTGGTGGACACCGAGGAGAGATACGTCCTGAAGCTGAATGAGTTGGTCAAGCACATTGCCGACGAGTTCAGACAGTCAGCGAGACAACGCGATGCAAGCAGCCTGAGCCCATCCGAAGATGAGCTCGAGAAACTATTTCCCGTATCAGCAGATAAGATTCTGCAGGTCAACTCCGCCTTCATGCAGGAGCTGCGCAAGATCATGGACGACACTGAGGATGAGGCTCTGAAGGACATGGAGACGACCACAGTTGCGCTTACGGGATCCAGATTGGGATCTCCCTCAAAAGCAAAGGACCCCAGCGGCGCATTGGCGATTGCGAGAATATTTCTCGAGTGGTTCCCCAAGTTTACAGATTGCTACCAGGACTACATCCGGGCAAGTCAGCATTTCCCCACTCTGCTCAACTCATTCCTCGATGAGCAGTCGAGCTTCCGACAACGGGTCATCCAGAAGGGCGAGCAAACGGTCCGCTCCATACTCATCGAGCCTGTGCAGCGTCTCCCTCGATACAGCTTGCTCATTGACCAGATCGTCCAGTGTCTCCCAATGACACATCCTGCGCTCCAGCCGATGCTCAAGGCACGAGACATCATCACGAACATTTGCTCAATGGACGACCCTGTACCCGAGAAGCCACACGTAACGGGTCGCCTAAGAAATCTAGTTGAGAGTTGGCCTTTGGATCTTGAGCCGGTGGGAAGATTGGTGCTTGCGGCAGACTTTGTTGAGCTCCCCGCACCCTACCGGCTACTTGACCCACCCCAAATGTCGGAGCGTGCTGGCATCTTTCTCCTGTTTTCAGATTGTCTCGTCATCTTGAAGAAGCTGGGCCCGAAGCCGATGTGTGGACGAGACCTCCTTCGTGAGATTGACAAACCGTCGGCCGCCGGGCTCTTAATGTCCATGACCAATGCTGCAGGTGGTCAGGCATCATACGAACTCGCCTTCACCGGCTGGCACAGCCTTTCCGACGTACGCTTCAGCGAATCCGCAGATGGCACGCTCATTTGGATGACCTCGACACAAGAAATGAAGGGAGCGCATGCTGGAGAATGGGTTACTGGCACCGCTGTCACGTCACGGTGCTTCTTGCTGGAGGAAAGCTTTGAGGCGAAGGGATCGAAATGGACAGAGGATATCGTCAAAGCGCGAGTCGAAGGTCGATTTTCGGAAAAGGAGCGCGAAGACCCAAGCTGGTCTCTTCGATCTTTTAGGCTGCCAGACAACAATCTCGGAGTTTTCGCCGCCGTTTTCCAGGAGGGCGCAGATCAGTTGATCGAAGGACGCAGAGAGCCGGCGCCGATCCGCATCGTCATCGACCACGAGAAGGGTACCAAAGGAGCACCCATCGGCCATTACGGCGTGGAAATTACGGTCAACGTTAGAAGCGGTGACCTGAAGAAGGTGAACATGCAGACTGCTGGCTTGAACGGCAGACAATTTGCCGACGATGTGGCGTTGGACGACTTTTTGCCAACGCTCACACGACGAGGTAGGTCTTCTTTATGCTCTGGGAATGGAATTTTCATTGACCTTGTTTCCAGTTATACAACTACTCAGCTTGCAGTTCAACGCATCAAATCTCCGCTTGGCGCCTGCCCTGGTTTCATACTACACTAAAATCCTCAAGGGACTGCCTCTGATGACCAGAGCGGAGAAGACCAGATCTTTCCTTGCCTCATCACCTGTCAAAGGATTATTCTCAAGCATTTGGGGCGGCTCTACGAACACCGAGGCACACAGCCCGCCCAAGCACAACCGCACACCCGTTGCGAATCTTTTCCCGCCGCCGCCCGTGTCTCGTGCAAATAGCGATCAAGGGTCCGTATTTGGCTCGGCCAGGGGCAAGGATGGCATCAAGATGGCAGGCGACGATCGTCCTGAAAACCCGCTGGTGCGGCTAGAGCAGACATTTACGGGATATGTTGCCAGCCTGCAAAATCGCAAGGGTAGCATCGTCGGACGCATGTTGCTGAATCGATCCGTCGCGGATGAGCTTTCTGTCAACGATCTCTACAACCGTCTGATTGAAAGCCCCTTCGACCTCGACGCCTCATCAGAGCTGGGAGCGGACGTCATATTTGTGGCCTTTGAGAAGTTCATTCGCATCGCTTGGTGCGAACAAATGGGTCCCATCATGACGAAGCAGGCTCTGGATACGTTGCTGGAGCGCATGAACCGACAGGTGCCTGGCAACTTTGCTGACTTTGTCAACTTCATGTTCAAGGATATGGCACCCCAGAACCAGCGAGCTTTCACGGCTCTCATCAAGCTCCTTGCCGATTTGCTCGACGGTTGCGGTAACGACGGCGACCGGGGCATTTTGACCGTTTCTTTTGCAGAGCTTTTGGTTCATGATGGCACGGCGCAAAACTACATCAACCTTCTGGATCGCCTGGTGGAGGATTGCGACAGGATCTTTGATGAACCCGGCGGTATCCATCTCACCGTTCAGCAAGCCTTCGAGTCTATGAACTCTCGAAGCGGAAAGTCACATACAGGCTCGCTCACCTCAAACACATCTTCGATCCGCCGCAAATTTGGCTTCGACACCCTTCTGCGACAAAACAGCAAGAACGATTCAGAGCGGCCATCCGTTTGGCGGACTCTTAGTAAACATGGCCGTCACCCTGCGTCTGCCGACGCAGCCTCGAGTTCTAGTCTGTCCAAGATGACGTCTGCACGCGCAAGGTCCATCGACTCTGGCACTGGCACGCAGCCTGGTCCCAATAAACTTCGGCGGCCCGGCTCTCGCGATAGACCGCCAATAGCTGGCGCCTTCGATGAAGACCCTCGACCACCCAGCTCCCAGCGACTCGATATGCGCCTAGAAACGATTGGCGAGCCGGAAGTTGAGACGCCTCCCACCAAGTCATCCAAGAAGAAGCGCCGCAGCTCGCTCTCTGATCTCAGGAGTTTGATGGAAGCAGCGACGATTGTCGACCCACAAGAGAAAATAGAGGAGGCGTTGATGCCGCTACGCATCAACAAGCAGACTTCAGAGAAGTTCAACTCAACACCAAGGATACCGTCGCCTTCAAGGATACCAATAAGCCCAACGTCCTCGAGTCTCCGGTCTCCTCGCATGATCTCGCCACGTCTGAAGGAAAACCCCGCGTCACCAGATCCACTCCAGATCCTCCACACTCCCCGCACTCCGCACACCCCTGGAGTTCTCGACCGCGAGAACACGCCAAGCCGCACGCCTAAGGGGCACGGAAGAGGCCTTTCAACGTCGAATATTCCCACACTTAGGCCTGCGCGTCCGACAACAGGCAGCCACTCGAGCGATGCCATCCCGCGACCATCCACCAGCCCCGGGAAGCCACCAGGAACCGGGAAGCTTCGTCTTCAGTCACCACAAAAGCTACGGGAGCGGTTGCAGACGGAGAAGAAGGCCGTTGAAGATGTCGATGCATCGCTCAAGTCGGAGCTCTCAAAGATTGCCGAGGAAATGTCACGGGTCAACTCGGGTCTCGGCGGGCGCACCGATACGTTGGAACTGCGCAAGCTGACGGACTCAGTCAAGACTCTCGAAGAGCGAATCCCGAACATGATGACCGAGCTCACCGAGCGGCAAACGTCCATACAACGCGATATGGAGAGCACGCTCAAGGCGTCGGAGACCAAAGTCAAGAGTATCGACCAGCTCTACAGAGAGGCGACGGCGGAGAACGAGCTCATGTACGAAAAGTTCAACAGTGAGCTCGGCAAGATTGTCAAGGCGCTGAAGGGCAAGGGCCGCGAGGACAAGGAGGATCTCCTCCGGAGCCTGCGTGAGCACAGCGAGGAGACGGCGCGGGTCAAGAAGGAGAACGCGCGGCTGAAGCGGGAGATTGTCAGCCTTCGGACTCTGATGAAGGGAGCTGACGCCTAGTAAACTTGGAGAAAAAAACGGTGTGGGATTAAAGCCAGGCCAAAATCTGTCGGTATGCTGTTGTGGCGTTTTTTTCGGGGAATATGCTTTGCGAGCGAGTCCAGGGCTTGGGGGTGTACTACTAACTACTTTTTTGCAACTACTACCATGGTTTGATTTCCTGGCTTGTCTCTTTCGTTTCGCACGACCTGGCAGCTTCACCTTGGGTCGGGACTCGGGAGGAGAATTGGGTCCTTTTTTTCTTCGGTCGGGCCTGGGCAGGCAGGTGGGCAGTAAGCAGGCCCGACACTGACATGGACGGGATTGGAATTGGGCTGGCTTGGTTGACTTGGATGAACGGGATGTGGGTGGATAGATGGATGGCGGGGTCTTGTATGGATTGATGGATAGATATGCTGACGGATAGCATGTGGAATGTGTATACTGTGGATGAATTGAGATGTGAGTTTAATGATGGGCTGTGACCCATGTGATTTGCTGTGCTGTTTGGTGTGTCCTGCCTTGCTCGTGGTTTTCGGGTGAAGGCACTTTATTTCTCTGCTGAGAAGAGCGACTACTTTTCTTTTGTGAGCTTGTTCATGGGCTACCGCAGTTGCCGCTTTCGTGCTGTCGCTCCTTCACCTTCCTTCCTTTTTTTTTTTTTTTTTTTTTTTTTTTTTTTTTTTTATAATTCTCCCCTCTTTTCTGGTGCGGTGATGGGGCTTCCACGATTGCCATCTCTGTTGTCGTCTTTTTCTCTTCTCCGTCTTCATCTCCGTCGTTGTCCCTGGGTACCGTCGTCCTTCATCATCGCGCAAACACAGAGACTCAGGCACATCGAAGCCACCGTTTGATTGGCTTTCTTATACAGGGCCCCCTAGTGCGGACCTTGCTAGGTACCCTGCTCTTAGGTACCCACAGTATGGACTTTTGGACCTACCGCCGTACCTTCTCTTCTCCTCGACCTTCACAGTATTGACTTCCTTCACCCTGAAAAAAATTAAAGACTTTCAGAAACGCCACCCAACACTCACGATGAATACCAACTCGGCGTCTGTCATCAGTGAGGATGAAATCAAGGATCTTGTGGCCAGATTTGAGGCCAAACTCCGAAATAGCGATCCAGAAACCCGTGTCACACCCCGAGAACTTGCGGCCTACAAGCGCAACTTCGCTGCCCGAATTGTACGCAGAATGAGAGGTCAAGATTATCTCGACGACGCCAAAGCGAACTTGGAGGAACGTCTAGACACGATGAGAGCTATTCACAACACCATCAACACCCACGAGGACTTCATCCCCATGTACAAGTCCGACAAACGCACCCTACGATCTGCGCGTTTGTGGGCGTCGATGTTGACGATGGACTTCGACCTCTTGCTTGAGTTCAAAGACAAACTGAGTATTGGAGGCAGACGCGAGAAGCGAGATGTGCTCTACTCGCTTCTGCAGTCTGTGGGTGGCGATGGACTAAAGTACCTGGGTTGGTGGTGTAAGTTATCCGACATCGTCGTTCACGCGCATCCCGTATGACTGACAAGTTGCAGCTCATGAAACCCCATTGCCATACGAAGAGGAAACCTGGGCTGGAAACCCCACGCAGAGAGACTTGGTGCGTAGCCTTCGCGATTCTGGCGTTGTCAGCTTGCTAACATGGTTGAAGGCTCTCAAGCGCGACGGCTTCAGATGCGTTCTGACCCTCAAGCAGATCTACCAAGTTTGTCGCATTGTCCCTGCCTGGAGCCTCTCCCGGCGACTCGAAATCCAGTACAAGGTTCTGGGACCCCTTCGAGCCATCTTGGGCGACGACTTTCACGGCAAACTGTGCGCTTTGCTGGAACCTGGCGCACATGATCTCCTTGACGCGCCTGCCAACATGATCACGATGAGCCCTTCCTTGTGCAAGATGTGGAACGAAGGCAAATTCGGTCTTGAACCCCTACGCTACGTGGACAAATGGGTCGCGATGAAGCCGGGCGAAGAAACCAACTTGGGAAGAGCCGCAGGCAGCAGCAAGGACACCAAGGAGTCGAAGGAGACGAAGGACACCGAGGACACCAAGGACACCGAGGACACCAAGGATACCAAGGATACCAAGGACGCCAGGCACGCGGGCAAAATGAAGCAAATCTACGGACTGGAAACTGGCTTCTATTGGTTGAAGAAAACCAACCTGGGAGGTATCAATGACAGCCCTGACGCAACAGACGCCGACCCTCGCGAAATGTGGGAAGCGCAAGATCACGATGAGGAGTTCTTCGCCGATAATGGCACCGCTCTTGACGATGGCCAGATTGTTACTATCTGGGCCGAAGACAAAAGTCTACTTCCCAATTGTGACCTACTCGCTATCCAGTGGCTAGCTTCCCGTCTTCATAGACTTTGGGGAGGCGCTGATCTCCATCTATACGCCCCTCAAGAGGAGCAGGACGATGACGCAGATGGACGGCGACAAATGGATTGAGGACGACGGTGGCGAGAGACGACGGTGACGAAAGACGACGGTGGTGAAGGAAGACGGTGACGAAGGACGAAGGCAACGAGAGACGATGGTAACGAGAGACGACGATACCCAATAGATAGCAAAATCAATAGGCACGACGCAAGTCCAAATGAAAAGTATTAGAAAAAAACATGGGATTCTGTCTTGATCCGAAAATCACAGGCTAGGACACACGCAGCGCAGAGAATGCACCAAATACAGAGGAAACGTAGCCGCGCAGATGCAGGAGGAAACCAGGCGATCTCGTTAGATATTTGGGTGGTCGTGCTCAGCGGATATTATCTGTGGCTTGCGGCTAACATCAAGTGATGGGCATGCTAATAACAGATAGAGTCGGACATTAATAGACGGTGAAGAGGCGGAACACATGCTAGCTCCATGTCTCTGGTCGTTGCATCTTTTTTTTCCCCCCCTTGAAAGTGCAATGGGAGCAAGGGAGCTACCAGCTAGCTACACAAACACAGACACACCACCACACCGCCAGGGCCCCAACGGACGACCCCGCGCTACCCTTATGAAGAAAAGGAGGGTTTGCTCCAACCGCGTTGCGGCCCGTGCCCGTCGGTGCCTGCTTTGGTGGTGCTGACCTAAGGCGGAGTAGTGTACCCAAGTGAGGGGCTACTCCTTCCACTTGCACTGGATTGGGGACCTGATTCACAGAGGTGATGTAGTAGTGGGAGGCAGGCGGTGCACCTGCCACCTGAAAAATTGCCGGCCGACCCCTCCTCTCCAGTCGTGGACTCGTGGTGTCCCCTCCTTGTTGCGCGCGCTGTCCATAGTAAACAAGTGGAAACAAGCCAACTTTGCTGGCCTGTGAGAGAGTTGGTTGTGGCACCTCGTTAACTCCACCTGCGCGTCTAAACGGTTAACCACCCCGCCAAAAAAGACGATTGCCCGAGAGAAACATCACCAGAGACGACGGCACCACGCACACACACAACCTTTGCCCATAAACATACTACTAACGCATACGCACACTCATCCGCACCACGCATACCCAACCCACTTTCTACCCGACCGCTTCCTTCGTTAGGTTGAGGCACCCACGTAGTCCTGTCCATCCTGCCCAGGTGGTTCCGGGCCGACTTTCCTTGCGCACTATCCGTGGACCTGTGCCGGTGCAAGGTAGTTAATTGGTTTCGTTTCGTTTTGTTTCTTGGGTTGCTCTCTCCTCCTGCGGCAACACCCACCAACACGATAGACACCACACCACCACCACACCGAGTGGCGCATAAGGGCACCCCAACAAGCGGGACGCATACCGATTCGGGTCGAGAGCAAACACGCGACCGACCGGACACATATCCCAGACCTTCACACATCGACACGACAGATAGCCCGCGTGAGTGTCGTCTTCCGACAGAACACCCAGCCCACCATGGAGGACCAGCTGGTTTCGCTGCTGGCGAACACCCAGAGCTCCGATCAGGGTCCCCGCCAGCAGGCCGAGATAGAGCTCAAGCATGCGCGCGCGAACCCGGCTTTCCCTACCTCCCTGGCCAACATCGCCAACCACGCCTCCATCGACACCGCCATCCGCCAGGCCGCCCTCAGCACCCTCCGCCTCTTCATCGAGAGGAACTGGAGCCCCGAAGACAGAGACGCCTCCGAGCCCCTCGTCGACATCTCCGACGCCGCGCGCGACCAGCTGCGCAACACCCTGCTGGAGATTGCCCTGAGCAATGAGGACAAGAGACTCGTCAAGATTGCGGCAAGGTATGGCTGTTGCGGTATCTACAAAGAGTCACAGTCCCTCTGCGCGGCGGTCTCGTCATGAAATTGCGCGCGCGGAAACATAGCACCACACACAAACGCACAAACAAAAGGCACAAGTCACTGACATTGTTCCACCGTCTAGCTATGCTATTGGCAAGATCGCGTCAGCCGACTTTCCCGAACGATGGCCTCAACTCCTGCCCACCGTCCTGGGCGTCATCCCCACGAGCACCGACGTCCAGCTCCACGGCGCCCTCCGCGTTCTTGGCGACATTATTGATGAGAGCCTAAGCGAGGACCAATTCTTCACCATGGCCCGTGATATTGTCAAGGCCGTCACCGAGGTTGCCCTGAACGAGGGCCGGAAACCCAACCTCCGCGCTCTCGCCATCTCTGTCTTCCGCTCGTGTTTCGACCTCATGGATATCGTCAAGGAGGACCACATGAAGGAGGTCAAGTCCTTTGCCGAGGAGGCCCTCAAGGAATGGTATCCCTTCTTCGCCCAGGTCCTCAAGACCCGTCTGCCCGAAGCCCCGGCCGAGCTCGCTAGCGGCCAGCCCGAAAGCTGGAACCACATAATTGCCATGAAGCTGCAGGTTGTCAAGACCCTTCTCAAGGTCAAGTCTGTCTTCCCTCACCTATTGCTGCCGCACAGCACCAGTCTGTTCACAGCCGTGTGGGAGGAGCTCTCTCTGCTGCAGAAGCCCCACGAGGACCTCTATATTGGACACGAGGCCCAGGGTCGTCTCGAGGACTCCGACAGCCTGCCATACACCCTCGATTTCTTGATCTTGGAGGAGCTTGACTTCCTCAACCAGTGCTTCCGCGCGCCTCCGGTCCAGGCCGAGCTCGAGGCTCAGTTGGCCGCCCACCCATCTGCGCAAGAGACCCCCTGGATGGTCGAGGTCATGAAGATGGTTGTCGGATACTCTCGCATCAGCCGTGAAGAGGAGGAGCTATGGGATATCGACTGTTCCCTGTACCTGGCCGAGGAGACCTCCGTCACTGCTAACTATACGGCCCGTACGGCGTCCGGTGACCTTCTCATCAAGCTTGGCGAGTGGTACAGCGAGAAGGCAGTGGAGGGACTCTTCGGTTACACAAAGACTCTGTTCCCTGGCGATGGTTCCCAGTGGAGGAGTCAAGAAGCTTCTCTGTACCTGTTCAACATGCTGATGAGCGACTTCCAAGATATGGAGAAGCCCATTCCGGATGCTGTTTCAGAGGCGTATCTTGGCCTGGTTGACTTCGCCGTGAACCAATCCGAGCAGCCCCTGCTGAGAGCTCGTGGTTATCTCGTTGGAGGCACCCTTGCCCGCGGATTCGCGACGCCCCCTGCCCTCCTCGACCGCATCATCCAATGCATCACTTCTGAGGAGTCCGAGGTCGTCCAGGTTGCGTGTATCAAGGCTGTGGAGGGTTTCGTCAGATCTGGCAGAGTGGGCGGAGACCGTCAAGTCCCCATTATCAACGCCATTGCTCAGTACATGCAGAACAAGGACCCTGAAGAGATGGAGGATGCGGACGAGCTGCTCGTCACCCTTGCCGAGTCTCTGCGCTCCGCGATCAACATCGACACTCGCATCGCTCTGTCTCAAGACGTCCCCTCCGTTGACCTCCTCTTCATGGTCGCGAAGCTTGGCGCCTCCAATTTCCAGGCCACCATGCTTATCTGCGAAGCCTTTGAGGAGATTGTCCGCACTCTCTCTGACACCACCTCATACACCGCCCTGTGCGCGAAGATTCTCCCCACGTTGACGGCGGCTTTTAACACAGCCAACGTAACTCAGGATGATCCTCTCGTGACCGTTGCCACTGAGCTGCTTACTGCGCTCGTTGAGCACGGCTCTGAGCCCCTCCCCGCCGGCTTTGTAGCCGCCACTCTCCCCAAACTTAACCGCCTCCTGATGGAGTCCAACGAGGGAGAGGTCCTCCGTCCTGGTGCCGAGTCTGTCAAGTACCTTCTCATGCACGATCACCACCAAGTGTTTGGCTGGCACGATGAGAGCGGCCGCTCCGGTCTGGAGGTCTGCCTTCACATCATCGACCGTCTGCTTGGACCTTCCATCGAGGACAACTCCGCTTCCGAGGTCGGAGGTCTCGCGGCAGAGCTCGTCGAGAAGGCCGGACAGGAGCGTCTTGGTCCCTTCCTGCCTCAGCTTCTCCAGGCTGTCGCCACGAGACTGGCTTCCGCCGAGGCTGCTCCCTTCATCCAGTCCCTGATCCTCGTCTTTGCGCGTTTGTCTCTCGTTGGCGCCCACGACGTTGTCGAGTTCCTCAGCCAGATTCAGATTCACGGCAACACTGGCCTCCAGGTTGTACTGAGCAAATGGCTTGAGAACTCTGTCAGCTTCGCCGGCTACGATGAGATTCGCCAAAAGTAAGTTGACTGAGACTTCTCTGATGTGCAAAACTGACTTGAGTAGCGTTATCGCATTGTCGAAGCTTTACTCTCTTAATGATCCCCGTCTTGCCCAGACTATGGTTAAGGGCGACATGATTATCAACCAGAGTGACGGTAGAATTATGACGCGCTCGCGCGCCAAGGCCAGTAAGTACTGCAGAACCGCGACGCTTAACCAGAGGTGCTGACGTTCAAGACCCGGACCAATACACCGTCATCCCTGCCTCCCTCAAGATCCTTAAGGTCCTCATTGAGGAACTTCTCTCCGCATCAGGCGCCAACGCTGCTGCCAACGCCGCTGCCGTCGCCGCTGCGGCCGAGTTTGCTGACGAAGAGAACGACGACGACGGTTGGGAGGACGAGCCCGAGACACTCGACCTTAGTCTGGGCGGTGTTAAGAACGACCTCATGTCCTACATTGAGGGCTCAGGCGCCCGCCAGCGCGACGACGAAACGCAAGCCTACCTCACCGAGTTCTTCATGCGCGCCGCTCGGGAAAACGTGGCCAACTTTCAGGAGTGGTACGGCATGCTGACCGAGGAGGAGCGTGGCAAACTCAACGAACTCGCCAATGCCGCCGGTCAGTAGGAAGACACTGCGGATGGGTGGAGTGGTGAGAACAGGTCGGCGTTGCCGTCGATGGTGAATCCGCTTCAGCCGCAGTTGCCATTGGCTGGCGCTAGAATGCGGAATCTGCGTAAACAGCACTGTTAATGCGTCTCGTATGCACGCCTCCTGTCTGTGGCCGAAAAGCTGAGGCACTCGGGACTAGGGGGTCCTTTTTTGGAGAAGCAGTATAGGGGTTATATATAGTTCCCCGTTTATGGCTTCCAAATTGGCG